AGTCTTTCGGCTAAACCGCATTTGGACGGCTTTTATCTCCTGAACCCGCTTCATTTTGTTCTCATTCGACTTCTTCTTGTAGCGCTTTTTAGCTAATTTTCGGTTGTACCAACTTTTTGGTTGCATACTCGCTCTGAAAAGAAGTTGGTTCTTCACTCGCTCCGAAACAACTTGATGATACGTAGGGAAACGAGACGGAAATATTACCCACTGTAAGAATGAAAGGGGAGTTTTTAAGCGTACGAATGTCGATTTTCCATACGCTTTGATCATGTGGCCATTTCTTTTTCTGACGTTGTTCTTTTCATGCCATTATTAGTAAGGCGTTTATATCTGTTTGTATGCATCGGCCAGAAGCACGTTAGTTTTTAAATGCACAGTCGACAACAGCTGTTTGACAGGCATTGGGTGTAGTTTCCTGTTTCCTTCCCAAAAAGTGGTACTCAGTTATCCACCTCATAATCTAGTCACTTGACTAGGCTTTAATGTAATGCTTCTTGGCTCTGAATCTGACACTACCGATCTTTCGGTTTCAATTTTCCTGTGCCAAGGTGAAAAGAAGAATAACGTTGAACTCTCGAACGAGCAGTTACGATGTAACTCGACATGAAACTTTCATGACTGGACGCCATTTGTGGCACGGCGCGTTTCCTTGGTTCTGCCTCATTAACCGGGAGTGTCTTACTGTTATTTTCTTTTGACGATAGAATATCTTCATCTTGGTAGTGAATATATAGCGTGTAAGCTTGTATCCTTTCCATGTACTGGTATTCATTCATCTAGGGAGGTAAGAAACACAAGCCGCCCAACCAGGACACGAAGTCACTATCTCTCTATTAAAAACTTCAGCTGTCAGCGAAGCAAGGCTAGACGTTACGTCATTGAACAGCTACTGCTAGGTGGTATGTTTCCACCCATGGTATGGCAGTATGACTGTAATGTTCACTTGAAATTGGTGTGCCTTGGAAACCAAAAAATTTAGGTTGTCAGTTTGGCGGCTAATCAGGACCACTGCAAAGACGTTCTGAAGCAGCTGTTCTTGCGACCTAAAGTCGGCCGATGATCTAACGGTCTATTTGGAAGTAATTAACTTTGTCATTTAATCTTGAGCCATTTTGTTTTGGGTTGCCGTGGAAGCAGCTTCATGAACCTTTTCGAACGACCCCGTTCTTCTACCAGCTGGGCGCACACAATCGATTCGATTCCAGTTTGCTACCCCACCACGCCAGATTTTCACTAGCTAGCCATCTGTTTTCGGCCTGTCTGTTGGCCATCTTCCATGTGGCTTTACCAAGCGCATTCATCTTGTGAGTCTTTCCTGAGATTCCGATCACATGCCCAGTTCGTCGCAGTGGTGAGGAGGGTCCCACAAGCGACGGTATATTGTTGTAGCCATGTTCGTAGGCGGAACGTAACGCCGTGAAGCGAACCTTCAATGAAACCCTATTTCTAGCTTTAGCATGGCGAATCGCATTCTTTTGTTTTCATCTAAATCCACAACCAGTGCATGGAATGTACGTGAGAGATGGTACGCCGGCAGTCTATGACACAGACAGCTTTGACACGTTTATTCTCTTTTTTCATGTACAGATGGAGAGACGGCAAGCGGTGTTCTCGAAGATTCCGTTTTACGCGCTACCAAAACATCCTATCCACCAAGCGCTAGCCAGGCGAAGGTCACCATAGTGTTTAAGCTCTCACATTTCTGCGCCGGTTCGACCATTCTAGTATCTGTTTTCACGTCCTCACGTCGCGCCTACCATCATTGTTGAGTTCTACTTACAGATACGTAGAATTGTTCGAGTGTAGAAAAGCCTCGATTTTGGTCAGATCGATTTTCATTACGGCTTCATCGCATGTCGCCGCGAAATGATCCAGACGACTATGCAGATCAGCATAAACGGGAGTGACAGTCTGGCAACAGTGAGGCAAAAATTCGCCGTCTTATCTGCTGGCTGACAGCCTCGGGCAGTACTCGACACACACTGTCAACTCCGTCCTCGAAACTACACGCGACTTTGTTGAACATGCACATCTGTGGCATTCTCTGCGCCTAGGCAGCGTCGGTTGATCTAGTCCGTAAAAGTTTACAACGCGTACTCATTGCACAACCTCCACACACTTTGACGGGTATGAATTTCGTGTCTGCAGTTTGAACACGCACCCATGACCAACCGTACGACAATTTACCGGTTCCACTAGTTGGTAATCGACCCTTAACATGTGTAACACTCTTCACACCCTGAACCAGAGCTGCCATATTTAAGTCTGTTCATACTGTAAGAAGCAGACATGTTCATGGCAGACATGTTCATCGCTCATGTTCCCGGAAGGAGCGCGGACTCGCAGTGTCAGGAGGCATTCAGGTAGGGCAGACTTACGGTTGGATGCCCAGAATATGTTCAATTTACGTAACATTGCCGCGCTTTAGAATCGATTGTGGTA